AATATTGGCTATTAAACATCCAGAGCAAAGTGGTATATATGGAAAACTTTAAATTCGGGTAATTTGGATTTTGTAAAAAGCCTTTTTGCTACCATTGTTGGTAGATGCTAGGATCGTCTGCAGAGCTGCAAGAATGTAGCAGAAGGCAAACAAAACTCTATATAATATATTCAATGGAAATGGAAAGAGGCCAAAATGAAAAGTCATTACAGGACCAGATAGTATTTTTACCTTATCAACTTTTCACTGTAGCACATATAATAAAGCTCTTACAATGTTTAAAGCTGTGGTTTTAAATGGATGGAGAGCTATATAAAGCCCAGATTACTGTTAATGTACCTGTAGTTCAGCTCTAGTTACAGGTTGTCATTGTTTCCAGTGAAAAGGTTTGTTTTATATTTTTTTAAAGAACTTTAGCAGCATGAAAGAATGAAAATGGTGATTTCTCCACGATTTATAGCAACTTTAAGCATAAAGTAGAAACCAACATCATTTACAAAATAATATGACTAATTGTCTAGTTAAGGATCTTTAATACCTTTGTTTACCCAAGTGATTCCAATGTGAAAACAACTTGGGAGCTGCTTCCCTCGCCTTGCATGTCACTAGATTCCACATTACATTCCATTTCTGGGGCTGAAAGAGGACTAAAGTGACATTTTCTGTCAAGCTTTATCATGCTCCCTTTTGCTCATGGGTGCTTTAATATCCAAGGGGCGTTTGTGCCTATAAAGATACTTTCTAATCTTTGTCTTTTGTTTACTGCCCAATCTATTAGCCTTCTGAATTTATCAAACATTTAGCATTCTTTCAAACATAAAACAGCAAACGTTCCAATATATACTGGTTTTCAAAGCATGGTCACCAAACCAGCAGGATAAGCAGCCTTTGGGAGCTTTTCAAAACTGCAAATGTTCAGCCTCAACCCAGACTTCCTGAATCAGAAACACTATGTGTTAACAAGTCTTCCTGGTGATTCTGATACACGTTCAGGTTTTCATTGCTTTAAACATTCACAACTCATACAACCAATAAATCAAATGTATATTAAATGAACAAAACAAGTCCCCTCGACCGGTTACATATTGATTGCAATTTTAATCAAATGCTCTTAAGCATTTAACTTAATCACAAGCCTAGTATTTCTGATTCCCCTGCTCCAAACACTTTACAAAGAAAAACATACACAAAATACCACATTGATTACAGAGCTGATTAATATTTTGACAACAAAACTGGGCACAATGTTATTAATATCATATATTTAATTTATTTTTTTAATTCTTAAACCTCCTTTTATTCTTATTCTTGCATGGTCCTGGAATTTAAACTTCCATTCATTTCTGGGTTGTTGGGAATTCTACAAGAGACGATTTTTATACCTCCTCAGGGTTTGTGTAATTTTGCCAGATTGGAAAGAAAAAATATTCATTTTAGGAAGTCAGAAATGCAAGATAAGTGAATTGCTGACCACTTAATTGTGATTGGTTAGTGGAAACTGGTTGCTAAATTCCAGGTGAATTAAACTCAAGCTGCTGACCACTGGGCTGAATATATATTTATCACATAGTTTTTACTTTTTGTCATGGCCTGTATATTGGTTTCCTGTTGGTGCTTTAATAAATTACCACAAGTTTAGTGGCTTAAAACAATATACATTTATTATTTTACAGTCCTGGAGGTCAGAAGTCTAAAATGGACGCAGAGGGCCATGTTCCTTCTGGAGGCTCTAGGGGAGAATCCAGTTCCTTGCCTTTTTCAGCTTCCAGAGGCTGCTGACAGCTTTGGGCTTGAGGCCTCCTTCCTTCATCTTCAAACTCAGTGACACAGCTTCTCTTATTTCTGACTTCCAGTCTCTGACTTATACTTTTGTGATTATATTGGGGCCATCCCAGGATAATCTCCTCATTTCAAGATCCTTAATTGAATCATATGTGCAAAATTCCTTTTGCCAAGTAAAGTAACATAGTCACTGGTTCTGTGGATTAGGACATGGACATCTTTGGGGGCCATTATTTTGTCTACCACAGGATCCTTATCATTATCTTTCATGTAGATTCCAATTTTTAAAGAAATTTGGAAGACGAGGTATTCATTGTTTATTTGTTGGTTTTTAATTTCATGACCCCATTGTAATATTTTTATAATACACTAACCTGGACTGGTTTAGATATTTAAAAACATGCACCTTTCTTATTAGCATTGTGTTATAATTAGTTAAATCATCAAAAAAAAATTATTCCCAAAGCAACAGGAAAGATAATCTGAACATTTAGATTTCTTCTTCAGGACAATTAATTAAGTTACTATTTTGGAATAATTATATCATCTTTCCAAATGAAAATTGTATATGCAATTGGTGCTAGTTAATTTCTGGATTCTTTTTTCTAGTCCATTGATATATAAGACCACAAATGTTGATGGACCCTGTTAATTCAAGGAACAGTTTCTATTTATTTCACTTACAAATTATGTTAATTCTTTGTGGTTTATGCAGATAAAATAATACATCTATACTATATGAACAGAAATATACTTAACAAAAAGCCACAAAATACCTACCTGTATCTATAGTAATTATAAGCTTTCCTATTTATTTAAGTAAATGAATTTAAAGGTACATAGTAATATTCATCCTTCTTTGACATTACTATTATATTTTTGTACATTTTCTTTATATTATCTCTTTTCTTATGAGCACCGTGACCTTTTATAAGCACAATCTATTTCATTTAATGATTTTTATTACTATAAATGATCACAATTTGAAAAATGGGAGCTTCTTTAAGTTTACTTTTTTCCTTTCAGCAGTACCCCAGCCATTTTTAAAATCACTCTTGCTTTCTGGCAACAGCAGAATGTTACAGACCTATTTTATCCTGACCAAGGACGTGGAATTGACTATCCTCTAATGGTTTCTAGTTTCTTTTCTTTTTTCTTTTTCTTTTTTACTTTCTTTCTTTCTTTCTTTCTTTCTTGTATAGAACAATATTAGAGACCAAAATCTGGGCATTAGGAGAGCTTACAAGTGTCGAGGGAGGAAAAGACTACATCTACTGCTGCTGCCATGGGACTGCTCTTGGTAGTAAGTGAGCTGGGAAAAAAAGTTACTTTATAAACATATAAAGTCTCTCTTTCCAGTTTACCATAGCATGTTGTTATCTCTCTCTCTCTCTCTTTTTTTTTTTGTATTTTATGGGATTGCAGCAATTACTAAGACTTTCTTCCTCTACATTGATCCAGTGTGCTATCTCTTTTCTCTATATATTTTTAGGACAATGTTTCTCAGTCTAGTCTTTATATTGAATCAACTCGTGAAGCTTTAAAAATATCGATGTGGGTCCCACCATCATAGCTTCTGATTTAATCTTCCAAAGAGCAGAATATAGCATCAGACTCCATAGGTGATACTAATGTGTAGCTAAGGTAAAGAACCTATGTTCTAGAAAGTTTGGGGCAACCTCAATAAAGCCAACGAGGCACGCTCCCATGAAATTACACTACAGAGGTTCCAGGGATATCAACTTGACATTATAAGCAGAACAAATAAATGCATGCTTTTCTTTCAACTGCTTATCTTCAGGAGTTTTGGAGATGAAAACTTGCTCGAGAGAGAACTAAAACTACCTTTTTTCAGTCTTCTTGAAAAACTGGTGGATAGGGCGTTGACTTCTCCAATTGCTCCACTAATGTTTCTGTCTTTCAGCCTCATTTTCCTTATTCTTTCATAACCTTGCTCTAATTACTTCAAGGTTTTAAAAGACCTTGACTTATTCATCTTTGAGGTTAGGGTAATGTTTATATGTGATGCAGACTAAATGACTAAATGTAGCAACACTCAATACCACATTGTAAAGTTCATGAAAACCGTAAGATGTTGGCAGCCACGATCCTAGCTGCCTGTGATAATTTGAGAGTCTACAGATATAAATCAAATATACTTTTCTGACTATGAAATTCTAGAAGGTCAACTACAATGTTAATTCAGATTTTTTATCCTATCTACACATACTTTAGGAAGTGATGCATATTTAAAGCAATCTGAAGTCTGACTTCTAGATCAAACACCTCTCTCTGTCTCTCTCTCTCTTTCATGAGGTTTTTGGTATCATGAAATTAACCAATTCTTCTGAAATAGGGAATTGATAGTTAATTATAGTTATAGACCTTATTGACATATCTACTTCCATCTAAGTTACTTTCCCATGATAGAATGAAAAGCCTGAATTCTTATAGTGTGAAACATTAGTATGTCTGTACTGGGAAGGAAGGAGGAGTAGATAGGAAAAGCCTCAGCTGGCAGTGAAGCTCTGAGGAAGTCTTAGTCAGGCTGATGGGGAGTCCCAAAATACAGACTGCCCTTCAGAGAGGATCCATGTCAGATAGGAATGGCCCAACTCTAGACCCCTGCCGTGCTCTGTCATAGTATGAGGAGAGCATAGGGAGAGGGTGGCTTTGGCTCAGATGCTGAAGTGGATTCCAAAAATATGGCGGCCAATGGCTCTTTTCATAGCAGATTCTTTCTTGTAGGGTGATCTGTGTGTGCACTTCCATGGCTGCCACACTGTTACTTGCAATTTTATAGCGAAAATGTTTGTTTTTCTGTGGGATGATGTGAAAGAAATTAGGCACATGCCAGATCATGAATATTTTTCTATATATATTGTTTATGGTCTCATCCCTTTCACTTAAAAAATTGCTATTTATCAATTAGAATTTATCATCATATCTATCATATCTACTGAGCCCACAATTAATTACTCATTGTTGTAAAAAATGTAAATCTCTGGTCACTTAATAAGATGTGGGGGGTATAACATTTGGCTTATATAATAACTACATGTGTAATATTAGCTTTTAAACCTGTCATGTTGATAAGCAGTTGTAACTTAGTAAAAATTCTATTTATTAGCATTTCTTATTACTGTTTAGAATCTTGTATTAAAGAAAGCATTATTAAGCATAATTGACTTAGATGATCTGTTCTTGGTTTGGCACAGCGTGTTGTCTAGCATGACAGATGCAGTTTTGGCTCGAGTGTATAAACAATCAGATCTGGATATTCTGGCTAAAGAAGCATCCATCCCAATTGTCAATGGTCTGTCAGATTTGTACCATCCTATCCAGATCCTGGCTGATTACCTCACGCTCCAGGTTAGTGTATTTCTTTGTCTTACAAAGAGACAAAATAATTCCTGACTAGCTTTAGGTGGAACCCATTTCTTTTTTCTTTTTTCTTTTTTTTTGAGTTGGAGTCTCACTCTGTCCCCAGACTGGAGTGCAGTGGCCACTCCCGGCCACCACAGCCTCAACGTGCTTGGCTCCGGTGATCTTTCCGCCTCAGCCTTCAAGTAGCTGGAACTACAGGCATGCGTTACCATGCCTGGCTAATTTTTGATTTATTTTAGAGATGAGGTCTCGCCAAGTTGCCCAGGCGGGTCTCGAACCCACGGGCTCAAGCAATCCACTCACCTCAGCCTCCCCAAGCGAGGGATTATAGGCTGAGACACCGAGCCCGGCTTGAACCCATTTCTTAAATGATGGTATTAATGCTTTATTTTCTTATATCATCTTGACAAGGAATTATAGTTTACATGTGCATTTTCTGGAGAAAATAGGGCATTGTTTAAAAAAAACTGGACTATAAGATCTTTCTGCTCTCAACTCTGTTCCCAAACCCTTTTAGTCCCTCTCTCATCTTCTGTTCTGTCAATCACTTTGGTTTTTAATAGTGTATTAAGTACAATGGGTGAATAGGGAACACTGACGCATATAGAATGGACAAACTTTATGTGATCATACATAGATCAGAGTCTGGCTTGGACGTGAAGACTGGCGGAGTGTGCTTTGAATATTCAAAATGGTCAATTTACTACGCCACTTTGGGGGGGACTTCCTATCATTTTAATAAACTGGTTGTTTAAAAGAAGGGTTGAGAACATGCAGAATTTAGAGAATAAAGGCTCAAATTTAACCATTCAAGTCCCTCCAAATCGGGAACTTGAATAATTTCAAAAGATTAATCTTGTTTGTGTTGTCACAGCCAATCTATATGGTATTGTCATAGAAATTCTAACGATCAAGGTTTCTGTGTCTGTGGACGATTCTGAGGAGACAAGGCAAACTGAATAAATCTGTCTTCCTCCTCATTAGAATAAACTACATACATTTAAATGTGAGGTTAAGCTAAAAATAAAGCTCTTTGGAGATGAGGATAAGATCCACACAGCGAAGATGATACAACAATGTCAGATAAAAGTGGCTGTCTGTGGTTGTGGCTTTACATATACACCAGATAATTTAATGTTTTCCTCTAGGACTTTATCATTACTAGATTATGAATTCATTGAGGGACAATGAGCTGTCCTATTCTTCATAGTGTCCCCTGCAGGACCTTGTGCAATGCTTTCATATAGGAGACACTCAAAGTAAAAGCTGAATTAAGAGCATGGGATCTAAAGCAGATGAACCTGGAATTAAATTCTAGCTTAGCTGCCTGGATATTCTGGAGTTCTGTGACCTCCAAATTGCTTAGCCTTTCTCTTTTTGATATTGATAATTTTATAAATATATATAACCTATGAAACCTACAGACACTTCAAGAAAAATAAAACAAACATCTATGTGCCCATTACACAGTTTTGTCAAATCTTAATATGATGGAGTAATTACTTCTAGGATTCTTTGTTATTCTTAAATAAGACATTATAGAGAGAGTTGAAGCTCACTGTGTAATCCCATTTCCTTCAACTCCATAAAGTAGTTATTACCCTGATGTTTGTATTTATAATTTTCAGACATGTAATTATACTGTAACTATATACATCCATAGACATAAACAACCAACAGTACTATTGGGCATGTTTTCCAACTGTATACAAATGAGAACTTGCTCAGAACCACCATGCTGCTGTTCTGGGTATGTTGTATGTCTCCTTTCCTACACCAAGGACTGTAAACTCCATAAAAGCAATGATTTTTGTCTCCTTTATTCATTGTTAGATCTCCAGGGCCTAAGACAGTGTCTTGGTGTCTGGACACTGATGGTGCTCACTTGTTGAATGAATGAATGACTGAATGAATGAATTAATACAACTAAGATTCAGATTTGAAATGTGTGAAACTCTTTGTACAAGTTCATATGATGTCTTGGTTTAAGATATTAAGACATTTGCCATGTTTTGTGATTATGCATTCATATAATTGAATTGTTCTGTATAATGCACAATAAATGGTAGTTCATTCATTTCAACAAGGCACTAAAATTGAGATGAAGATGATTTTCTTTATTTTAACCCTAATAATTAATTATTGCACATAAGTGAATTTAATCCCAGATTTATTCTCCTCCATGCCTTGCCTTTTTAGGAACACTATGGCTTTCTGAAAGGTCTTACCCTCAGCTGGATTGGTGATGGGAACAACATCCTGCACTCCATTATGATGAGTGCAGCGAAATTCGGGATGCACCTTCGGGCAGCTACACCCAAGGTAGGGAAACTTTCTACCTTGAAATGAATCCTCTCTTAAAGCACCCCCAAATTCAATTACCCAGTGAGGGGAGGAAAGGATGTCTTCCATTCAAGGAGAGCACGGATGAGGTCACAAAATGTAGGTTAGGTTACTAGCTCTATCTACTATTAAATAGCTATCTGGCCCCTTGAGAGTGCAATTTCCCATCTCTACAATAAGAGATAGTCTTGGCTGATGCCTTTCATTTTGTGAGTCTGTGTTAAAAGCAAGTCTGAATTATCCCTTTAAAAGCCCTGATACTGGTCATTGTGATGACTGGCATCCTTGTGCATTACTACCACAAAGGCTGAAGAAAGCAATACAATCTAGACAGCATAGAATTCCCAGCGCATGGAAATGATGCTGCCATTTTCTTAATACTACAATTTGGTAGAGAAATTTCAATCCAGTGTGAGGGTCACAGTGATGGCATCTACACAAGCTTAATATTTTAAAACAACTCCAGGGGCCCTTCAGGTTTTAATATCTGAATTCCACATAGCTATGAAGATGACCTATGCATACATCCTACCTTGCTGATAATCTCTCACTGAATGTATGGAAAGCATGTCTTCTTTCATAGGTCCAGTATGTAACCCTTTTGGTGCACAAGAAACTGGTAATAGTTGTTGCCTCTGAGGAGGGGAACTAGAAGGTGGAGGATAGTGATAGGAGGGAGACTTTATTTTCACTGTACAGTCAAGTGTCACTTAACTATGGGGACACTATGCAGAAATGCAACATTAGGTAATTTTGTTGTTGGGCAAACATCATAGAATGAGCTTACCCAAATCTAGATGGTATTTATTTTATGTACATATTTTTTCATTTGGAAAACCAAATGTTCCAGCACCATTACTGAATATTAGTCATTTCCCCTACTTGATCTGCAATGCCAATATCTCATGATTCTATATATGCTCCATTATGATCTTAGGGTACTATCATTGTTTTTGTGGTCCTTCGTTGACTAAAAGGTCATTATGTGACTCATGACTATATATCCTTTCATATGTTTTCAATTTCTTAACATGTGAATGTTTTACCTACATAATAACATGAATGTATAAGTACACTAATATAAAAATGTAAAAATTCCACTAGGAGAAGCTCTAGGTTAAAAAATCCTCAGTCCCATATAAAATAAATAGGCCCTTTAGAGGGTAAAAATTAACCCTACAAGAGACAAACACAAACCAGCCCTGAAAGATCCCCCACAAAACCTTTTAAACACCCTATCTACTGAATTCTTTTCCCCATTATGTTTCTCCATTATCTACTAATGTTCCATCAGGAATCTTTTAGAGGGAAAATTGCCCTAAATAGAAGTCATTTCAGAAAAAAATCTGGATCTGTGGTAAAAGATAGAAATGACTCTCATTAAGAGATGACTATTCACAAGTATTGTGCACTGGTGTATTTTTTTTTTACCAAGCGCGTGTTTACTGTTATCTCAATAGTCACCACTGTGGTTCATTCTGAAAAACTAAGCTACCCAGAGGTGAGTATGTGAGGCTTAATAATTCCTCCCTAGAGTTGGGTGCTTGTAGTTCCAGCTATTCAGGAGGGTGAGGTGGGAGAATTGCTTGAGCCCAGGAGTTTGAAAGCAGCCTGGGCAATATGGCAAGACCTTGTTTAAAAAAAAAATTCCTCTCTGCCCCCGCTTCATGAATTTGAGATGTTTATTTGCCAACCACTGGGAACATGAATTACACAATGTGAAATTAAAAGCCGAATCTTACCAACAGAAAATACCCCAAAATTTGAGTCTCTAATGCACTTTTCACCACCCCACCACCACCAGAGTCTTATGCCAGGTTCCCCACAAGCACAACCCTGATGGGGGTTTGTGTACAGGTGATTTATTAAGGAAGTATTCCTAAGGGCGATCTATAGAGGACTAGAACAAGCATTCTATAGCAGGACAGGGAAAAGAAAAGCATGGTGGCCATTTATAGTGGCCAATCATCCTGGTTTCCCCAGAAACAAGAGATTTTTGGAGAAGTGGGACTTTTGTTCCTAAAATCAGGAGTGTCTCAGACAAACTGGGGCGATTTGGTCACCCTAGTGCCATGTCAGGCACAGTCCCGCAGGAAGTAGCTTCAACCTGATCCTACAAGTGAACTCTGGAGAGTAAGGTATGCCCCATATTTGTCTCAACCTAGGGTGAGGGAGGCAGGCTTTCAATTTTCTGAACCAGTCACGGGTCAAGGGCAGCAGGGGAGGTAGTGTGGTAAATCTCCTGGCACTTTTTGCAAAGAATCAACCTGTAGCCAGAAAGCTGTCTTTTGAGGAGGAGCTGCAAGTGCTAGGTGTTAAAAACACACTGAAATTGGGGGAAGAAGCAAAAGCCATAAAAAAAGGGATCCTCGCTGGGCTCGGTGGCTCAGCCTGTAATCCCGCGCCTTTGGGAGGCTGAGGTGAGTGGACTGCCTGAGCCCGCGGGTTCGAGACCCGCCTGGGCAGCGAGACCTCATCTCTACAATAAATCAAAAAATCAGCTGGGGATGGTAGCGCATGCCTGTAATTCCAGCTACTTGGAAGGCTGAGGCGGAAGGATCGCCGGAGCCCAGCAGGTCGAGGCTGCGGTGGCCGGGAGCGGCCACTGCACTCCAGTCTGGGCGACAGAGTGAGACACCAACTCAAAAAAAAAAAAAAAAAAAAGGGATCCTCTGAAGTTATCTGAGTAATGCATCAGCATCATTTGCTGCATTCTGCCAAAACAAACAAACAAAAATCACCACAAATGCTCTCCCTTAGTGTTCTCTCTGAACCAGTTTAGGTCAATGCATCCTGTTGTCTTACTTTCCTAGGACTGCCATAACAAATTACCACAAACTGGATGGCTTAAAACAACAGACACTGTACAAATGTCCCTCTTCTTCTAGGGACACCGGTCATATGAAATTTAGATCCACTCTAATTCAGTATGACTCATTTTATCTAATTATATCCACAAAGACCATTTTTCCAAAGAAGATCCCATTCTGAGATTCTGGGTGGGTGTGAGGTTTTGAAGTCCACTACTCAGCCAAGTGTACCTGCCATAGAAGAAATAGCAGGCATACGCAATAGCATGTACTGGAAGCTATCGTCTTACATAGTACACTTTAGGGACTCAGAGAGATGACCATTACAACAGACAATTCTCCTTTTTGATGCAACATGAACTGAAATAAGGGTCAGATCTGACATGTGCTTAAGGTGGTTTTTATTCACTTTATGGGAATGGTGAGTACGCTCTCACTACAAATCTAGCTTGAAGAAAGGATCTGTATTAGTGCAAACTATTATCGCATTTGGTTTTTACAGATAAAACTTACATTAACAATAACTGTTCTCTGCTATAAGGTTCTTTTGGAAAGGCTTTATTCTGTTAAAGAAATATATGGCTTAAGCATTTTATTGCATGTCAAAGATGTTTTATTAACATCAAAGGAAAAATTCCAATATTACAGAGTAATTTCAGTATTGTTCTTATGCAGAAGCTCATTTAAATGACAAAGAGTACTAAACCCCAGTTAAATCTTGGTGGGAGTTAAGAGTTTTAAAATGTCTTCTGGAAAGTCTGATAGTACAAAAGTCATTCCATCAGTTTGTAAGTCTTCAGTTGTCAGTAGACCTATTCCTTTAACAATAAATGCTAGGAGACTTATTGTAAATTTAAGAAACACTGAAAAATTTCCAAGACCATAATTAATATATTTCCCAATTCTTCACTCAAGGATAACTTATATGTTCATGAAAAAGAATCACTTCGTCTATGATTGTAAAATTGTTTTACAAACTATGAATGGTAATGATTTTAACATTGTTCTAAGTGAATATTTAGACTGAACTGGGTTTGTTAATCATCTTCTTTATTTTCGAGAATTATGGAAAGACCAGTGAGTTATATAATATTGAAAGCTGAGATGTGAATAAAGAATTCCACTCTGTATTGTAAGTCATGGTCCAGTGCATACAAGGTTGGATGATTTTCTAATTTCCAAGCCTCTCTGTTGGTTCTCTAAATACTTATTGATTCCTTTTCTAAGAATGATTATACCTAAGGAGTATAGAACCTGTTTTCCAAGGGGAAGGTAAAATTTTCAGTATAGGAGGCACCTGGGATAATATCCATCTCCTCTTTACGTTTACCAGTATGACAATTCACAACACTAGTTACTAAACTAACGATCCTTTATTAGTTACTTTCCCCAAACCTCCATAAACAAGGATCCAGAATTCATGGTTATTTGAGGGTGATAAAATTGCTAAAATGCTTGCAACCATTTTCATCATCTGAGTAGTTTCTTTTTTCAAGAATTTTGGATGGAAGAAGGAACTATAGTAGACAATCATGTGCAAATAAGCACAATGTCAAACAAATAAACCTGGACATGCCTTTTGCAGACTGGGTTTTCCAGGAAGCAGACTCTGAAACAGAGTTTAGCTTGCAGGACGTGGGATGCATATTAGCGTGTGTCCTTGAAATCAACAACTGTGGAAAGGAAGGAAAGAAGCAGGAGTGGGTAGAGGGAGAAGCCGAACTGCAATGCAGGCCTAACAATAGCCTTGGCTGATCTTAGCAAGAGTTCTGGATCTCAGCTGGCCATTCAGCTGTCTGGAGTTGGGTGGAGGGGGTCCGGTTTTCATATTCTCTTGTCAATCAGCCATTGAACGTGAGTCACCCTGGAGGAGTGTGTCACCTTGGGTGAGGCTGCTCTCTGCAGCTGAGACAGTGCCCAAAGGGGGCTGACAGGTGAAGGCCATCTTCTGGCATACTCCCAGCAGTGGGGGAAATAAGTTCTTTATTCATGGTTATTCACGAACAGGGATCTGGGAGGCATATTACAGCATCCACCACAATGCCCCACTGAAAATGGATAAAAATCAACTCATAGCCAGGCTCGGTGGCTCAGCCTGTAATCTTGCGCCTTTGGGAGGCTGAGGTGAGTGGATTGCCTGAGCCCGCGGGTTCGAGACCCGCCTGGGCAACGAGACCTCATCTCTACAATACATCAAAAAATCAGCCGGGCGTGGTAGCGCATGCCTGTAATTCCGGCTACTCGGAAGGCTGAGGCGGAAGGATCACCAGAGCCCAGCAGGTCGAGGCTGCGGTGGCCAGGAGTGGCCACTACACTCCAGTCTGGGCGACAGAGTGAGACTCCAACTCAAAAAAAAAAAAAAAACAAAAATCAACTCATGATAAATGCTAAGAATTCCGGAACATGAGAAGAATGGAGGAAGGTGAGGATAATCACGGTGTTTGAACGAAAGGAACTTCCGTATAGAGGGTCTTGAAGGTGAGGCTGGGCTAGAGTTTTGAGGACTGACAAGGCGCATCTTGTTCTGAATATGCCCAGGACAGGACAAAGGGGGAAGTGTTCAAGGGTGAAAAGCCGTGTTGGAAGAAAAGGGCAAGATGTGTACAGGGACGACAATAAGATTGGTGTGCCTGCAGCAAGATGCTGAGAAGAATTAAAAGAGACAGAAACAGGGGGTGGAGGTGGGGATCCTTGACGCTCTTAATCAGCTTTGATTTAAGAAACGAGTAGTAAACATCGATGGCTTCAGAGAAAACAATTATCGCTGCTGTGTATAACAGATTGGAGGATGAGGATGGAGGCGGGGGGTGCTTTTAGAGGCCTGGAATAACTTGGGGAGCTTTAGCTGCCCCCATTATGTCTTATCACCCAGAGTATGGACTATGGTGAGCAAGTGAGGCACGTTAGGGTGCAAAATGTGTGTTTGCATGACCCTGAGAATGAGTGCTTCTTTAAATTTTTGTTAGTGCCCTTTTAAATGTTGTGCCCTAGGCTCCTGGCTTGCCTTACCAGAGTTTTGCCCTGCCCTCACCAAATCATCCTGAACAAACATAAAATCTTAACAAAATCAGTGCTCTTATTGTGTCAATGCCATTCCAAAGCAAGCACTCTGCACTCAGGACACTGGCTGGAGAATGCAAAAGAATAAGGTGTGTGTGTGATGGAGGGTGAGGAGGGTGAGGGGGTGGGGGAGTTATGAGTATTTAGCTGGAGTGGTCAGGGAAGGTTTTTCTGAGGAGGGGACATTTGAACTGAGACCTGAAAAAGTTATTTGCATGGAATGCATGGGAAAAAGCATTTCAGACAAAAAAGAACAGCACAAGGAAAGACTCACAGAAGTGCATTCGATTGTACAATTATGTGTATAATCCTCTTAAGCTATTAGGAGAACAAGAAGAGGTGCTACCAAGAGCTAGAAAGCACCATGCCCTATGTTCGTCTTTATAACTAAAGAGGTCAGAGATAATAATAGATGGGCAATTGGTTGCCGTTTCAGATTCCAAAAGGCACTATTAAGCTTTGAAATTAAGGATGTAAAAATCATATTCTACTGAACATGGTTGAGCTACATCTTGAAAAAGGAAAGGAAAGAGAATATTCTTGAAAAGAAGATAATGCCTATATAAGAAAACATAATCAAATTACCTAAATAACAGTTAAATTCTTCCTCCTGTAGGGTTATGAGCCGGATCCTGGTATAACCAAGGTAGCAGAGCAGTATGCCAAGGAGGTATGCTTCTTATATGTAAAACTATAATTGCCTTTCTCTGTCCCATGAAGTTGTTTAACCGGCATGCTTATGTATGCTAGAATGGTACCAAGCTGTTGCTGACGAATGATCCATTGGAAGCAGCGAAGGGAGGCAATGTATTAATTACGGACACTTGGATAAGCATGGGACAAGAAGAGGAGAAGAAAATGCGGCTCAAGGCTTTTCAAGGTTACCAGGTTACAATGAAGGTACAAATTGATGTCTCTCTGAAGGTTCATTAATTCCATTCATAAAAGCCACAACCATCTAATCGCTCATTCACTTTGGGGAGAGCAGACTGTCCTTTCATTCCCTTCTAAAAGGACTCACTGACTGTATCCCCTGGGGATTTTTCTCCTCCAAAAGATTAGCTATGTCTTTTGGAAAGACACTTTTGTGCTGGATGAAGGAATTTGAAACCCAAGCAGAAGAGAGAAGCAGATCCAGTGCTTTACTCTTTGTATGTTTTGAGAAATTAGGTTACTTCTGATGCATTCAGTTTCTTTTGATTTCTCCCCTAAGAAAAGCCTTATAACTATGCACCTCAGGCTACTCCTTGCCTTTATTTTCTAAGGGCCCCTAAATCCAGTTTAGTTTTGCTAATTCCCTCCGGGGTATTCCCAGGGGACTCTCATTTATTCTGATGCCTTCCAGTGAGATCTGGAGTAGTGCTTCTTAATCTTGAACATGCATTAGAATCACCTGGAGGAGTTGTTAATAAAAAGCTGGCTGGGCCCCAACCCGAGCATTTCTGATGCAGTAGGTCAGGGGTGAGTCCCAAGAATTTGCATTTCTATCAAGTTTCCAGGTAATGATGCTGCCGCTGCAGGGTCACACTTTGAGAAGCACTGTTCTGGAAGAATATCCTAAAAGTCAGGTGCATGCTGGGGTTTTGTCAGCAGAGCAACTAATCTGCTTTGGTAAAGAAAGAGATTAAGCAAGTACAATTAGTATTTTATGGATAAAGTAATACATAAATATACGTTCTTTATTATGACATGTCAAATAGAAGTTGGAAAAGTTAAAAGTGAAAAATGCCTTTCCCCCATCCCCTTAATAGTGACTATTCCCAGAGATAGCCACTGTTTAGGAATTTGATGCGTCTCTTTGCAGGCCTTTTTGGTGCATTTATATATGTAGGCATATACAAAGCATGTATATATACCTCCATACCCACAAAGCTATTGATTTTTCCTAAATGGTATTTTAGACGTATTATTCTGCCTTACTTTTCCCCACTTAACAAATCTTAGACTTTACTCTCCATTCACTTGGATTTTTAAAAATTATTTGTAGTGGCTGCATAGAATTCCAAAGTATAAGTGAGCCATAATTTACTTAAAATGTTTCCTCTTGATAAATTCGGCTACTTCCAAAAATCCCAATTACAAGCAATGTTGCAATGAACACCCTTATACATATTTTTATGCAAATATTACTGGAGAATTGATTCCTAGAAGAATTTCTGAGTCAAGTGATATATACTTTTTAAAAGATGGGAGATGCTGCTAATTTCCTACCCAAAAAAAGATTAACAATTTACCGCTATATATTATAGTTCTTTCTCCATACATTCTCCACTTTTAGTTGTTATTTTCAATTTTTGTAAATATAAAGAAAATATTATATCTCATGCTTTTTAAAATTTGCATTTCTTTGATTACTAATGAAGTTAATATATTTTTATGTTTACTGGCCATTTCCTTTTCTATAAATTGCTATCATATGCTTTGCCCATTTTCTATTTTTGACTTTTTAATTATTGCCTATAGGAGTTCTTTATATATTATGGCTAGTCCCTTGTCATAAATGTGGCAAATATTTTAATGGAGGTAATTAAAATTATATGGTTTACTTTATACCTACCTTGATAATTTTTTTTTCTCACTCTGTCGCCCAGACTGGAGTGCAATGGCCGCTCCCGGCCACCGCAGCCTCGACCTGCTGGGCTCCAGCAATCCTTCTGCCTCAGCCTGCCAAGTAGCTGGAGCTACAGGCGCGCGCTACCACACCCTGATTTTTTGATTTATTGTAGAGATAAGGTCTCACCAAGTTGGCCAGGCGGGTCTCGAACCCGTGGGCTCAGGCAATCCACTCACCTTGGCCTCCCAAAGTGCTGGGATTACAGGCTGAGCCACCGAGCCCGGCCTAGCTTGATGAATCTTAGGTGTTTTTTCTAGTGCTGGGACTGTAGACTTGAAGAACAGTCATTTTACTGATGCATGACAGGTTAAAATGTTACTCTTTTCCATGTCATTTTGCTAGTATCATAGAAACTTGGAATGTTCTGAATCTAAAGCTAGGGTGGGAGGTAAAACAAAATTATAGTACAAAGGCAGTAATTTTGAGGTAAAAAAGTGTCAGGGAATGTAGTTTTGAATCCATAAATGAACAGTAGAAGTAGATGGGGAAATTTAACTTTCAAGAATTAACTGTTAGAGAAAATTAAACCCACTAATACATTTGCATTAAGAATGAAACATCTAGTGCATGGTGCTTATAATCCTGTTTAATTCACTCCTATTTCAGCGCTTTTATTCAAATTGTTTTAATGAGTGACGAAGTATGCTTCAAGAGCTAAAATCATGATTTGGAGATAAGCTCAAAATATAATACATCAAAGCAACTTTTTGTTGTTTTTTTTTTTCATTTGTTTTTTTGAATTGGAGTCTCACTCTATCACCCAGACTGGAGTGCGGTGGCCACTCCCGGCCAGCGCAGCCTCGACCTGCTGGGCTCTGGCGATCCCTCCGCCTCAGCCTTCCAAGTCGCTGGAACTACAGCACGCGCTACCACGCCCAGCTAATTTTTGATTTATTGTAGAGATGAGGTCTCACCAAGTTGCCCAGGAGGGTCTCGAACCCGCCGGCTCAGGCAATCCACTCACCTCAGCCTCCCAAAGTGCTGGGATTACAGGCTGAGCCACCGAGCCCGGCTCAAAGCAACTTTTAAAATATAGTGGGATATATTTGGCGACTTTTGCTATAGCCACATATTACATCAGTAAAATTCTTTACTGAAATGTCCACTGTCCCACTAAATAGATACCAGAAAACTACGTTAGTACTTTAACTTGGAGTGATGACCTTCCAAATTTAAAAACATGACTACAAACTTCCATAAGTTGAAAATATCATATACATTTCTCCCGGGTGTCTTAAGATAAAATCTTTACCCTGCACTTTTATCTCTCCCTTTGCGTTGACTTCTGACCCCAGGCCATATGTTTTTAAATACTGAAGAAGACAAATATGACTGCCACATATGATATTCAAAATGTGGTCTTATCCTCATCTCTTTAGACTGCTAAAGTTGCTGCTGCTGACTGGACATTTTTACACTGCTTGCCCAGAAAGCCAGAAGAAGTGGACGATGAAGTGTTTTATTCACCACGATCACTGGTGTTCCCAGAGGCAGAAAACAGAAAGTGGACAATCATGGTAAGCAAGAAATGGGGATAGGAGGATAAGAAAGAGTTATTTTTGTCGTCCCAACTTGGTCATTCATGCCTTTTGGTAAATAATAAGCAACAAAGATCATCCAACTGCATTACTTGCTCATATGGCATCTATTTTTTTTCCAGAGGGATCATAAGAGATCATTATTGCTCATTAGCATTTATGGTATATTTTAATGCAGAAACACTTATCCCCTTCCAATAAATCTGTTTTAATCAAAGTTCTTACCATTCTTGATTAGCCTGAGTGCCAGCCACCATTGTCTGCCAACTATTGTAGTCACATATAATAAATGTGTAGCCCCCACACAGTCTTATTTCTTTTTTTTTTTTTTTTTGAGTTAGAGTCTCACTCAGTCCCCCAGACTGGAGTGCAGTGGCCGCTCCCGGCCACCGCAGCCTCGACCTGCTGGGCTCCAGCGATCCTTCTGCCTCAGCCTTCCAAGTAGCTGGAACTACAGGCGCGTACTACCACACCTGGCTAATTTTTGATTTATTGTAGAGATGCGGTCTCGTCAAGTTGCCCAGGCGGGTCTCGAACCCGCGGGCTCAGGCAATCCACTCACCTCAGCCTCCCAAAGCTCTGGGATTACAGGCTGAGCCACCAAGCCCGGCTCAGTCTTACTTCTTATAGAAGCCCCTAATTCAGTACCTGCTACAAAATGATCATTCAAAAATATCTTAGTTCCTTCCTCTGTTCTTTCCTCCTTTTATTCCTTTCTTTATAACTTGATCAAATAATTGTTTTATATATTTGAGTTTAGCCATAGAGATACATATGCTTTTAAATATAGAACATTTCCAAACTTCATGGGAAAATGTATCTTAAAAATTATTGGTCTCAGCAATAATGGGAAACTGCCAGGGGATGGGGGTGGGGGCATACCGCATCAATAAGGGTATCTGCATAATGAACATTTGTATATATAACCCTGAATTGTACCCCACATCTTTAAAATAAATTTAAAAAAAAATTATCGGTCCCACAATGGAATATTACGCAGCCATAAAGAAGAACAAAATCATGAACTTCTCAGCAATCTGGATGGAATTAGAGTTTATAATACTGAGTGATGTCTCACAGAAACAAAGAGCTGAGTATCACATGTTCTCACTCATAAGTGGACCTTGAACAACTACTGTAATACTATAAGAAAAGGATTGACAGTAGCGGGAAACTGCGGGGGAGTGAGATTGACAGTAGTCGATATCTGCCTGGGGTAGGGGGTGGCACACCTCATCAACAAGGGTACCTGCACAATGGATATTTGTATACTTCACCCTGAATTGTACTCCACAATTTTAAAATAAAAATTAAAAGAGGAAAAGAAAAATTATTGGTCCCTTTCAGAAAAAGTCAGTAGCTTCATGTTCACCACTGTCATTCTAAGGAATATTAACCTTATCACTACTTTGCACTATCGCAAATGTCACCTTCTCTGGAAAAGTGAATACAGTACATATGCTACAACTTAGCTCCACCATTTTTTTTTTTCTGCTTTGAGTGATTCCACTGTTCTCAATCGCTGTACCAGCTAGGGACTTACTTGCAAACAACAGAGTCTGGGAAGATAAATAATGGAAAGGAATTTATTAAAAGACATTGATCAGCTCCCAGAATCTCCTGGAAAAGAAGGTGCAGAAAATCATTTTTGGACACCGTATAGCTGGGGACAACACAGGCAGGAAAATTCTCCAACAACATTGTGAGTTTTGTACCCAGAACACCACTAACATAGCCATCCACAGTCTGATAGCTAAGGCACCTAAAAACAGATGCTAAATGCTCCATTATAGCTACCACAGATGAGACAGATATCTTCACCTGCCTGTGGAGCAGAAGGTTCAATCTTCCAGAAGATGGCTTCCTCTGCATGTTGTCCACTTATGCATCCAAGTTTGGAGCAGATGCTACTGAGTTGTATGCATGCACCCTAGTGGCAAAGGGAATCTGGGAAATGTAGTTTTTAGCTTTCAGCCTCTGGAGAAGAGAAAAGCAAACTGGAAAGGACTATCTGCGAATTATCTAATCTATACATGAGAATAGGGTGAATTTGAACATTAAAATAATACTTGTAAAGATTTTAGTGTGGTGCCTAACGCATGGTAAATATTATCATAATTATTATTCTCAGTATCATCATCTTCATTGTTGATCTGATACAGTAACCAGCAGGGTTTCATACTCCTGTATGGCCGCTTAGAGTTTAATCATGAGTCCCTTTTCAATGGAAGGTTGTATATCGGCCTAAATTTGTCATATCTGGTAACAGGAATGCCTTTTTTCAACTGCAATTTTCCAGTTTACCACCTCTGGACACTAACTTTAGCCCAAATGGCGATTGTCATGTCCTCTAGACCAGCGCGTCTGAAGCCTCAATGTGTATTGAATCATGTAGGGACCTCATTAAAGTGCAGATTCAATTTCTTTAGGTCTAAGATGGTGCTCAGAATTTGGCACTTTTAGCAAGCACCCAGGTAATGCAGGTGTCAATGTCCTGCAGACCATATTTTGAGTAGGAAAGATCTAGATGACAAAAAGAAAATGTGAGCTTTCCAACCATATGCCTCAGGAAGAGACTCAGATAAAAATTTACCTTGAGCTCTAATTTTTATCAGAAGACCACTGAAGTTGTAAAGATAAATCAAGTAAATCCATTAAAGTAGGTCCTTTGTAGAGATTCAAGAGGAAAAACTAAGAGTCTTCTAAGACATCAATTATGGAGATGCTCTACACTTCTGAATTTTAAAGAGCTTATTAAATAACACCTTTAAATTCAATTTACTGAAAAATTAAATGCATAATAGTTGAAATGCTTACAGTGAAATCTAATATGCACCCATTTTTCATCTATCTAGGTCTTATCACTATCTATTCTCCATCTTCCTGAGGTACACACTGCTATTGAGGGAAAATATATTTTAAAGAAACCAAGAGGCAGAACCATGTTAAAATGAAGGTAGAGAGTGTAAAGTAGAAAAAAAACCTCAACTAGGAGTGATGAGACTTGATTTCTGTAACAGCTGTGACATTTTGGATAAGTATTACCTCTTTAGGTCCCAGTTTCCTCTCCTATAAAATAAGCAGATTGAGTCATAGATATGACAAATGAGTTTTAATATTAGGTTCCTAATATTATCAGCAGGCTACTTGGAATCCTTTGTTGAGAAGGATTTTGAGCCTGTCTGTGGTGTGGGACAGAAAAAGTGGCATAACTGATTAGTGTGCCTGACATGGATACTGGAAAGGATGTAGTGATGCATGTGCTGAGCTCCTTACATTTCCAAGCTAGATGATTTGGAGGTCCCTTTGAGTTCAGTTAAGTTCAGCAAGCCATACAATGAGCATCTACTCTGGGCCAGATCCTCTGCCAGGCATTGGAGATTGAAAAAAAAACAGAATAATGTGCAGCCCCCACACAGCCTTACAATTCATAAAAGCATAACATTATCAAGTGGGATGAGACCTTAGAGATTATCCATACTAAATTCCTATTTTATAGGCAAAGAAATTCTTCTTAAACAGCTTATTTAGAATGGCCTTTAGGCTCAGCATTGCGTGATAGATTTTTCTAGGATGTTCTAAAGGCATAATACTTGTCTGCCTCTAGAACTGCTCTATCTAATACAGTAGCCACTAGGCACATGTGGTTATTTAAATTTAAATATAAGCCAGCTTGATGGCTCAGCCTGTAATCCCGCACCTTTGGGAGGCTGAGGTGAGTGGATTGCCTGAGCCTGCGGGATCGAGACCCGCCTGGGCAACTTGGCGAGACCTCATCTCTACAATAAATCAAAAAACTAGCCGGGTGTGGTAGCGCGCACCTGTAGTCCCAGCTACTTGGAAGGCTGAGGTGGAAGGATCGCCGGAGCCCAGTAGGTCGAGGCTGCGGTGGCCGGGAGCGGCCACTGCACTCCAGTCTGGGCGACAGAGTGAGACTCCAACTCAAAAATAAATAAATAAATGAATAAATAAATAAATTTAAATATAAACTGGATAAAATTTAACAAAATCGAAAACTCAATTCATGAGTCTAATCACATTTTAAATACTCAACAGCCACATGTGGCTGGTGGCTACACTATTTGATTGGACAGCACAGAAATTGAACATTTCCATCATGGCAGAAAGTTCTTTGGACAGCACTATTCTAAACAATGATTTACACACACACAACTTTATTTAAGTCAGGATGATGGAAGGAAAGACACAATTTAGTCTCCAGTTTTGAAATGCCCATAATAACTGATGTAGGATATATAACTAAAAGAGGATGAAGGACTTGTTCTTAAAGCATAAAACATTTTTAAAGCAAAGCGTACCCTTGGCAGCACTTCGAGTAGCCTGTTAAGGCCTCCATGCTGGGTGATTTCCAGCAGTGCTGTTCAGAACACTCCAGTAATCACATCATTCTCCTCGGTGCACAAGCCCTTGGATTTCTTTATTTAGAAACAAAAACAAGCTGGGCTCGGTGGCTCAGCCTGTAATCCCGCGCCTTTGGGAGGCTGAGGTGAGTGGATTGCCTGAGCCTGCGGGTTCAAGACCCGCCTGGGCAGCGAGACCTCATCTCTACAATAAATCAAAAAATCAGCTGGGTGTGGTAGCGCGCGCCTGTAATTCCGGCTACTTGGAAGGCTGAGGCGGAAGGATCGCCGGAGCCCAGCAGGTCGAGGCTGCGGTGGCCGGGAGCGGCCACTGCACTCCAGTCTGGGTGACAGAGTGAGACACCAACTCAATAATAATAATAATAATAATAATAATAAATAAAAACAAAAACAAAAAACACCCTTCTCTCCCCCACAAAGCTTGCTTCCATATTTTCCAGTGATTAACAAGGCAGTAAAACTCGCAAAATGTAGACAGGCTTTTTCCTGTGCCTACAAATTTTACTGTGGAGCTAAAGTAAGCTACCTTTAGCTTACTTTTACCCTGCAAAAAAGCCGATGCTTCAAACTCCAGATGACCCCTAAATACATAACAACATTGCAAATGTAATTTGTGATATTTTATAGCCTTTCACATCCCTCCAAGTGAGGGTTGTCAGATAAAATACAGGACATCCAGTTAAATTTGATTGTTAGATAAACAATAAATAATATTTTAGTTGTCTCATGCAATAATTAGAATATACAGTAGAAAAAATTGTTGTTTATCTTAAATTCATATTTAACTAACAGTTTGTCTATGTTTATTTATTTAACTGAATCTGAAAACCCTACTCCAAGTTGACATTTTAAGTTATTTATTTGAAAATAATCTGGCCACATCCAATGACCAATAAAAACAAAGCAAAACAGCCGGGCTCGGTGGCTCAGCCTGTAATCCCGTGCCTTGGGAGGCTGAGGTGAGTGAATTGCCTGAGCCCGCGGGTTCGAGACCCACCTGGGCAACTTGGTAAGACCTCATCTCTACAATAAATCAAAAAATCAGCCGGGCGTGGTAGCGCACGCCTGTATTTCCAGCTACTTGGAAGGCTGAGGCGGAAGGATGGCCGGAGCCCAGCAGGTCGAGGCTGCGGTGGCCGGGAGCAGCCACTGCACTCCAGTCTGGGCGACAGAGTGAGATTCTAACTCAAAAAAAAAAAAAAAGGATGAAAGAAAGAAACAGAAACCACTTCCTAAGTTTGTGAGGATTCACTGAGGTTACTATGAGTCAACTGAGCATAGCAATCAGGTTCCAAGGACACACATGGGCAAGTCCATCACCACTCAGGAAACTGTCCATGTCTCAGTTTCTTCATCTGTATTTTATACCTCTTACCACCTCAAAGAGTAGGAAAAGATATTAAATGATATGATGCACATAAAACATTTAGCACAGGGCCTAGTACATGCTAACATAAATAAATATATTAAATTGGCATGTTTGAAATATGACTTACACTTCTGATATAAGGTAGAGACACAAGGACATATGGTTGTAGTATAAGAGTAAGTGCCTGAGAGGCAGTAAAACTACCTTTTCAGAGTGCAATAATCCAGATTCATCCATGTTGTTACAAATGACAAGATCTCCTTTGTTAAGGCCGAATAGTATTCCATTGTGTATATATATTACATTTTCTTTGTCCATTCATTCATTGATGGACACTTAAGTTGATTCCATATCTTGGCTATTGTAAATAATTCTTCAATGAACATGGATGGAAGTGTAGATATTCCTTCAATATATAGATTTCAGTTTCTTTGGGTATATACTTATAAGTGGTATTACTGCATCATATGGTAGTTCTATTTTTAGCTTTTTGAGGAACCTTCATACCATTTCCCATATTAGTTGTAGTAATTTACATTCCCATTAACAATGTATAAGAGTTCCCTTTTCTCTGAATCCTAGTCAACAGTTGTTATCTTTAATCTTTTTTATAAAAGCCATTCTAACAGATGTGTGGTAATATCTCATTGTGGTTTTAATTTGCATTTCTCTAATGATTAGTGATACTAATCTAATACTAATGACTAGCAGGTTATGTACCTGTTGATCATTTGTATGCCTTCTTTTTGAAAAATGTCTATTCTGTTTAGGTCCTTTGTCCATTTTTTTTTTTTTTTTTTTTGAGTTGGAGTCTCACTCTGTCACCCAGACTGGAGTGCAGTGGCCACTCCCGGCCACGGCAGCCTCGACCTGCTGGGCTCTGGCGATCCTTCCGCCTCAGCCTTCCAAGTAGCTGGAATTACAGGCATGCGCTACCACGCCCAGCTGATTTTTTAAATTTATTGTAGAGATGAGGTCTCGCTGCCTAGGCGGGTCTCGAACCCGCGGGCTCAGGCAATCCACTCACCTCAGCCTCCCAAAGGCGTGGGATTACAGGCTGAGCCACCGAGCCCAGCATCCTTTGTCCATTTTTAACTTAGGTTTTTTTGTTTTCTTCCTACTGAATTTTTTGAATTCCTTATATATTTTGGATGCTAACTCCTTATCAGATATATGACTTGCAAATATTTTCTCCCATTGTATTGGTTGTCTCTTCATTTTGTTTATTGTTTCTTTTGCTGTACAGAAGTTTTTTAGTTTGATACAATTCCATTTATCTAGTTTTGCTTTTTTTGCTTTTGCTTTCATGGTCATATGCAAACAATTATGTATACATAGATGTGTATAATTATTCCCCAGGCCAACATCATAGTGCTTCCCTCATAGGTTTTCTTCTAGTAATTTTATAGTTGCAGGTCTTATATTTAGGTCCTTACTCCATTTTGAGTTGATTTTTGTATAGGGTTCAATTTCATTCTTCTGCATGTAGATATCCAGTTTTCCTAATACAATTTATTGAAGAGACTGTTCTTTCCCCATTGTGTATTCTTGGCACCTTTGTCCAAAATCAATTGACTGTAAATGCATGGGTTCAGTTCTGGGCTTTCCTTCCAGTTCCATTTGTCAGTATGTCTGTTTTAATGTTGATACCATGTTGCTTGATTATATTTACTTTGTAATATGCTTTGAAATCAGGGAATGGGATGCCTCCAGCTTTGTTCTTTCTGCTTAAGATTTCTTTGGCTAGCCAGGCTCCGTGGTTCAGCCTATAATCCCGCGCCTTTGGGAGGTTGAGGTGAGTGGATTGCCTGAGCCTGCGGGTTTGAGACCCGCCTGGGCAGGCGAGACCTCATCTCTACAATAAATCAAAAAAAAAATTAGCCGGGTGTGGTAGCATGTGCCGGTAGTTCCAGCTACTTGGAAGGCTGAGGCGGAAGAATCATCAGCCAGAGCCCAGTAGGTCGAGGCTGCGGTGGCCGGGAGCGGCCACTGCACTCCAGTCTGGGTGACAGTGAGACTCCAACTCAAAAGAAAGATTTCTTTGGCTATTTGGGGTCTTTTGTGGTTCCACAAATACTTAAAGATTGTATTTTCTATTTTTGTGAAAAATGACATTGAAATTTTGATAGGAGTTGCATGAATCTGTAGATCACTGGGAAGTGTGAACATTTGCACAATATGAATTATTCTTTCTAATCCAAGAACATGGGATATCTTTCTATTTATTTGTGTCTTTTTCAATTCCTTTTTTTTTTTTTTTTTTGAGTTGAAGTCTCAC